GGGCTTCTATTTACTCTACAGCAAGTACAGAGGCATCCACTAGCAAGTCACTTTTGTTAAGTCTCAGTTGCCTCATCTACAAGGTGAGCAGAAGATGATTTGTACTACCTAACAGTGCTTTCCTCACAGAAAATTTCTTGAGGTAGTAGAAATGTTATCCCAGTTTACTGATGAAGAAACAGACTCAGAGGTGAGATGAACCGCTGAAGGACGCACAGCTAATATGAGGTCTACCATACAGGACTACCACCCAGGTCTTCTGACATCAAATGCAGTACTCTTTTCTACTTGCCCTCAATAAAGTAGCATGGTTCAGTGGGAAGAGCATTCACTGGAGTCAGAGAAATGGTTTCAAACTCCAACTCTGATGCCAGCTTCATGGCCAGGCCCTGTCTCTCTCCTAAGCTCTAGTCCCACATCAAACCAAATGCTGCACAGGCATCATAAACACAGTATGTCCAAAATAGAACTCACGATCTTTCTGCCCCAAATCTATCCCTCTTCTAAACTTTCCGATTTCCAATTTCATTCTCCCTCCTTACTCTATGTATCCACATCCCTCATAGCTGACCCTTTCTACTCACACAACCACCTCCTTGGCTCATCACCACCTAGACTACTGCAACGTCCTTCTAACTGGTCTCCTTTCTTCCAAGTCTTTCCTCCTGCTTGGGATGTACTTCCCCTCCTCACCTTGGCTTCTTCCTTCAAGATGAAGCTCAAAGGGGCAGCTAAGTGGCCCAGTGGATAGAGCACCAGCCCTTAAGTCAGGAGGATCTGAGTTCAAATCCGACCTCAGACCAAACACTTGACACTTACTAGCTGTGTGACCCTAAGTCACTTAACCCCAATTGCCTAAAAATTAAAAAAAAAAAACACACACAAGATGAAGCTCAAGAACCACTCTGAAGGCTTTTGGTTCTACCCAACTGCCAGTACTCTCTCTCCTCAAGTATATCTTGCATTTATTTTGCATCTACTTCTGAGTAGGGATCGTTCAATTCTTTATATTGTGTCTCCCCACAAACCTGCATAGTGTTTGGCATACAGTAGGTGCTCAATAAATGCTTCTTGATAAGTTCAATGACCTTGAGCCAGTCACTTAACTTCCTTGGGTCTTAATTTCTCTATTTGTAAAATGAGGGGTCTGGACCAGGTGATCTCTGGGGTCCCTTCCATCTCTACATCTGGGAATTTTTAATTATACCCCATAACTGAACTGGTCCTCCTAAAATATTCAGGACCATAAGCTTGAACTTGCTAGCCCAGACCTTCGAAGAATAAATGTTTTAGCTGAGTCCAGGACCTTGCTGGCTTTGGATACGAATAGCTGCTGCACTTAGTACACTTGACTCTGTCATGCTGCCATCCATATTCAGAGAGAAAAGAGAATGCTTTGACAATTCTTTGGAAGCTGAAGAATTGTGATTTCCATTTGGCAACTGAATTCTGCAGATTCTTAGAAATTACAGACCATTAATACAGTGTACTAGAAAGAGTACTGTAGGTCTAGGAAATCAGAGACCGGGGCTCTAATCCAAATTTTGCTACTCTGTGACCATGAGCAATTCAATTTAACAAACATCTTTTAAGCTCCTACTATGTGCACAGGAGCTAAGAAAAAAGAAACGTAAGGAAGCTCAAGGAGCTTATATTCTACTGGGGAAAACACATAAAAAGATTTTACAAAGAAAGATGCATAAAGGGAAAGAGAACTATCAATGATAGGTTAATCAGAAAGGCTTCCCAAAGTAGGCAGTACCAGAATTTAGCCTGAACGGAAGCCAAAAGTGGTAAGAGGTAGAAACTAGAAGGGTATTTTATGTGTGAGTTCCACAACAAGACAGGTTAGCTGGAATGCTGCTTACCCCCTTTTCCATTCCCCTTCTGCCTCTATTTCTTCATCTGTAAAATGAAGTCGGACTAGATAATTTTCAGTCTCTTCAAAACCAAAAATTAAATGAAAACTTGGGCCAGTGACTCTATTCATACCTCCTCCCCCCTAACATTCCACATAACCTACATGTAGAAACAGAAAGAAAAATAAATTCAAGGTAAACTTTTTTTTTATAAAAAATTACTAAAAAACAAACAAAATTACTAAAAAACAAACAAAAAAATGTCACTGGACAAAAGGTGATAGACACATTTTAAAGCAATGGCCCTCAGAGATGGACTTTATAAGGAAAAATGATCTTGAAATAACTTGTTAACAAGTTAGTAAATTTAGTTCAAGTTATCAATAACATTTTAAGGGCAGTCAATAAAGCATTTATTAAGCTTCTACTATGTATTTGTTAGGCATTGTGCTTGAAAACTCTATTCCTGCATTTATAAAATGTGGCCATCTCTAGGTAAGAAAGAATATGCACATGGGTTTAAGAAATGCATATGCTAAAATATCAGGCTCCAGGTCGTGTCTCGAATTGTCAACATAACAATAACTTTCAAAATTAAAATTCTAATCACATCAGAAATAGTTACATAAAATGCTGATTTTAAAAGGCTGTGACAGGGGCAGTTAGGTAGTGCAATGGATAGAGTTCCGGCCTTGGAGTCAGGAGGACTCAAGTTCAAATCCTGCCTCAGATACTTGTCACTTACTGGCTGTGTGACCCTGGACAACTCACTTAACCCCACTGCCTCACCAAAAAAAACCCAAACAAACCAAAAAGCCATGATTAAGGGCAAAATGTACTAAAAGATTTAATCAAAGTTTCAAAAATAATGACTGTTACAGCGTCATCCATCTAAAGCCAAACATTTACTCAGCACCTATGTGCAAGATTCCAAGTAGTAAGTTGGAAACTGGTGGGGAAAATTCCTTATTTTTTTCCCTTTTCCCTCGCTTAAAGGAAGGTGTGGTCTTACTAATTTGAGACAGTTGGGTAGTTATAATACTTTATTTGCAAAGAATACCTTTACAGTACGAAAAATGTTAAGAGAATTAAAGCAGTAACTTTTTGACCCAGCTAAAATTTAGGACTATCAGGTGGTTCTGATTTAAAGTACCATCTGAAATGGGAAACTATCGCTCCACTTTAAGCCAACAAAGTCTTTGAAATAATAAAACCGGTTTTTACAGGGAAAAACCATATGAATAATTTTTTTTTGCTTTAGAATTAGTTCTCTATTTTCAATCCAAAAGGAATGTTGGAGCAGATTATTGAATAATGAGATTAGCATATAAAATAGATTTGTAATCACAGCCACAGCAAAAACAAGGAAGCATAAAGGAAACTGGAAGGTATCTGATAAAAGCGGCTGGCCATTTCCTTCTGTTCACGGTTTACTGTATTTAAAACCAAAATTAACAGAATGAATGCATTTTACATTATGAAGGACCTACATAAACCATATCTTACAGTGGGATTTCAAGGAATCATTTTCAAACTCCAATCTATACAGATCAGGTTTGTAGCAATAGCAAGGTCTAAGAGGTCCACCTTCCACTGAATACACAGGATCCACACCAAGGCATAACTCCCGTCTCGTTTCCTGCTCCCACTGTCTGTCCCCCGCCCACCGGCCCAGTGGCTCGCACCAGAAGGTGCTCACGGAGAAGAAGTTAATCTGCAGGAGCCTCTTTAAGGCAAAGACCACCTCACTACCTGCTCTCTCTAGAAATCCCGCAGCCTAGGTGGGTTCTGAAGGAAAGCAAGTTTCTGGAGGGGACCACGCTCGGGGAAGACCTATCAACTTTAAGGACAGTCGGGGGAAGCTGGTTAAAAAAAAAAAAGCCGCGAGGGTGGGACTAAACGAGCCGTAAGAAGCGCCCCCCTCCCACGCGGACCCCCCGGAGCGCCTTCTCCAGCCGGGCTCGGCCTTTCTGCGTGAAGCAGGCCCGAGGCTGGGTCCCTTCGGTTCGGTTCGGTTCGGCGCGGGGTGGTACGAGGCTGGGCCGGCTGGCGCCGAGGAGCGCTTCGGTCGGGGCCAGCCGTGTAACAGGTAGGAAAACAACCAAGAGGCGGTGTGAGGAAGTGCCCCAAGAGGAAGGAAGGGAGGAAGGAAGGCAGGAAGGCAGAAAGGGGGAAAGGGAGGGAGGACAGGCTTGAACCAGGCCGTGGCCTACGAGGAGAGAGACGGAGTCAAGGAGGCGATTGAGCGTACAGATCCTCCGGACTCGGGGCTCGCCGCGGCCGGGAGCCCAGGGCCGGCGCGGAGTCGGGGGGAGCCGCCGCTTTCCCCCTAGACACCGGGCGGGGGCGGGGGAGGAAGAAGGGGAGGAAGAGGGGGAACTGGCCTCGGCTCCCACCAAGCCCGCAGCCCAGATGGCCCCACACCCATTCGGCGACCGGGGACCGAGTGCGGAACTCGGGGGACGGAGCGTGGGCAGCGGCGGCGGGGTGGGGCCCCGGACGCCCCGGGACACCCCCCACCCCGGGGCGGGGGCGAGGCGGAGGAGTTAGAGAGAAGCAGCAGGTGGGGCCCGAGCCGCGGAGCGACGCCCGGGAGGCTGCCGGCTCAGCAAGCGGCCGAGCCCCGGGACGGGAGCCGAGCAGCGCCGCGGGCGAGCAGGCGGGGGCCCGCAGGGCGAGGAAGGCCCAGGGAGGCGCCGGCACCTCGGACTTGGGGGGCCGGGGAAGGGAGGGAAGGAAGGAGACCTCAGGACGGGACGCCCCCGCCGTTGGGCGGCCTCTTACCTCAGGCGGTTCTCGAGTCCCTCCGCGCCGGGCAAGCTGCTCCGCGAGCCGCGCGTTCTAGGACTCAGGCAGTTTCTACACAAGAAACCGGCGGGCAGGCGGGCGGGGAGCGGGAGCGCGGGCGGGCGGCGGCGGTGGCGACGGTGGCGGCTGGAGGGCGGGTCGCAACGTGCGCGCTCCCGAGCCCAGGACGGGTTCGAGCCGTGGCTAGCCGCGGCCACGCTCTTAGAGCCCGGCCCCTAGGCAACGATTGCTCCAAATCACGTAACCTCCCGAAGAGGACGCCGTTTAGCCAATCACAAACGCCGCGCTGGGCATCACGGGAGCCATAGGGCTATAAAAGACCTGGTTACTATTTTGTGCTCCCGAGTCACCCACTCTATAGGTAGTTTGGGGGTGGTGGTGTTTCGTACTTGTGTGCGCGTGCGTGTTTTCTTGTCATCCATTCTACTCCACCTTTCACTACCACCTCTTTGCGCATGCGTTATGACTTTCCCTTTTCCTGCTCGGATGATAGGGGCTGCTTATGCTGTCTGATATTCCAACCCTCCAGAAAACACGGCGCCTGCGTAGTAGCCGCTGCAGTAACCGCCCCGGGGCAAGGTGGGTGAGCGTGAAGTTGATTAGCATGGCGGCTGAGTTGGGGTCCGAGCTGGGCTGGCAGGCCTTGCCCACGGCCGTCCTGGGCGGCCTGAGCACACTGGGCAGCGAGTTTCTGCGCGAGTGGGAGGCGCAGGACATGCGTGTGACCCTCTTCAAGCTGCTGCTCCTATGGCTGGTGCTGAGCCTCCTGGGAATCCAGCTGGCATGGGGGGTGTACGGAAGCACCGTGACTGGCCTGTACCACCGCCCGTCCTCGGGTGAGCCGCCCCTCCCCCTCAGCCCTCGCTCCTCCGGCCCCACGGCCTGTCTTACTGTACCACTGAAATCGCGCCCGCGGGCAAGCTGTGCGAAGGCCCCTGGTAGTCTCTCCCCTCCCAGGCCCCGGCCTGTACCGCTTCTCATCCATCCTGGCGGGTTGGGGTAAAGGAAGGCCCGTGCTGGGACCCTGTCCTGCCTCGGGACCGAGTGGCAGCATTACTAGTCATCTCTAAAGTCCATCCCCTCACCCAGGGGATGCCCCCTCAGCAGGGGATGAGGGTAGCACACCTTTCCTGAAGTTCCAAATCTCAGTTAGTTAGACAGCCCTGAATGCCCTTCTGACCACTGTAGCTGGGGCCGGGCGCCCAAAGGCCTAAATCTTCCAGTCAATCAATCAGCATTTATTAAGCACCCATTATGTGCCAGGCTACAGCCCTGCCAGTGTTGCTGTGGCAATGAGAAGACCTGGATTTCTCTCCCACACTTTGGCTTTGGTCACACCTGCTTCCTCTGGCCTGAATGTTAATCCTGTTACCTCCCATAGGTCTGGGAGGCCAGAATGGCTCCACTCCAGATGGTTCTTCCTTGTTTCCTCCGTGGTAAGTGTCTCAGCCCAAGGTTAGCCATAACCCCCCTTGCCCTTAACACCTTACATTTATATTCCATTTAACAGTTGACAAAACACTTAGCTCTCATGAGTTGGGTAGGTGATGTTATCCCCATTTCCCAGATGGGATCATAGCTATACTCATAACATCTTAGAGCTGGAAGCAGAGCTGTGTAGAGCTTGGGACTTGGTCTTGAGAAAACTGGCTGCAAAACTTGTGGGATTCTAGAATTTAGAGCTCCAAGGGACTTTTTGAGATGACCTTATCTTTCCTTCTCAGAGTCTGCAGCCTCACAAGAAGTAGATTTGCCTAGGCTTGCATAGATAGTAGCAGAGGCCTAGATTTGAACCCAGGTCTTTTTTCATGCTCTGTGATTGAGTAGGCAACTCACTTCCACTCTGAACCTTAGTTTTCTTATCTGTAAAATGTGAATGATACTGCTAATTCTCTCTCTCTAATATCATTGTATGGAAAGCATTTTAGAAATCTCTAAAGTTTAGCTGTAGAAATTCGTGGAGTCCTCTTAGTCTTATACCTGTGATTTTACAGGCAGGGAAACTGATGCCTAGAGAAGGGAGGTGATCATTCAAGGTATCACAGGGTGATTCAGTGGCAGAGCCAGGACTGGGATTCAATTCACCAACTATTTAAATTCAGCATCATTTCTACTGTTCCCATAAAAGCTCAGGATCTGTGATTGGGGAGGAGATGAGGAAGAGGATGGTAGAAACGGGCGAAGCTGCCTTCCTTTGGTTATCATAGGCCCTTAGAGCTAGAGTGGAAGGGCCCTCAGAGACTATTGGATTCAAGTTGCTAAAAGTCTCAGTCCCAGGCTAAAAATGTAGATAGCTCAGTGCCCTCCTGTCTGCCATGTTACCTTCTCATAATCTTGTTGTGTTAGCTTTGACTTTTCTTTCTTCCTCCCCTTTCATATCTAGTCAGTTACCTGTCAACTCCACCTCCACAGCTTTTCCCTTGGAGGCTCTTTATTCCTTTTGGCACTACCCTAGTTTATGCCCTCATCTCCAGTTGTAGGCATCTCCTTATTATTGGACCTCCTTATCCTCCCCCTTCCATCCACCCTTTATACCTTTGTCAGAGTAGTATTTCTTATATTTTTATCAGGTCATATAAGTCATCTGATCATAAAGACTTCAATGGCTAACTAACATTTGAGCATTCAGAGCCCTTTGTAACCTGGCACCACCTTGCTTACCTTTCCAGTTTTATCTCATATTACTCCCCAGCCACGCTAAGTAACCCTCCACACCCTGAAAAGGCTGGGTGCTCTCAGCACTCCTTGCCTTTACTCAGGTATACTCTATGCCTAGAATATATATCTTCCCACTTTGCCTTCAGTTTTATTTTTTTGATTGCTTTATTGATTTTAACCTTGCTGTCATTTCCCAGTATTCCTCCCTCAATAAAACCCTACCATGTGACAAAGCAGTGTGGGTAAACAAAACAGATGGGCATGTCAACCATATCTAACAGCCTCCTTCCATAACTGTTTCCACTACCTGTCTGCAAAGAACAGGGAGGAGTGTTTCACCCCAGTCCTCTGGAGCCAGGATTGGTCACTGCATTGATCAGAGTCTTGGCAGCTTTCAGTACATAGTGTGATGGTCACTGTCCACTGTTCTCTTGGCTCTGCATGCTTCCCTCTGCCTCGGTATTTACCGATCTTTCTAAATTTCTCTGAATTCTTCCTATTTGCCATTCCTTATGGCACAATAGTATTCCATCATATTTGTGTATCACATTTTGTTCAGCCATTAAAAGCACACAGAGGAGAGGCAGAATGATTTCATCTGATCTGTTCCCCTGGGCAGGTGAGTTCTGCAGCTCTGAATCTCATAGAAAAGGCCATCAGTGACATTATTTTGACAGACTGATTATGTAGTTGACTTTTCCTTTTCCCCCAAGGATAACAGGAAATTAAGCTACCCTCTCAGTGATCCCAGTGTTACCAGAACAGTTCAAGTTTTTGAAAAGCCACCAGCTTCTCCTACCCATATTTCATTTATGTATGTATGTATGTATGTATGTATGTATGTATGTATGTATGTATTTATTTATTTTGTGAGGCACTTGGGGTTAAGTGACTGCCCAGGATCACACAGCTAGTGAGTATCATGTGTATGAGAGATTGAATTTGAACTCGGGTCCTCCAGACTCCATCCACTGCACCAACTAGCTCCTAGTAGGTTAGCCTCCTACCCATATTTTAAACCTCAGCTTAACCCTGCCCCCCCCCCAGGATCCTGATGTGTCTGTCTCTGCTCCTGTCCTAACCCCCAACACTGCCCCCCCACTCCCCGTCTCTTTCTCCCTCCCTCCTCCTCCCTCCCTCTCTCTCCCCCTCCATCTCCCTCCCTCTCTCTCTCTCTTTCTTTCTTTCTTTCTCCCTCTCTCTCTTTATCTCTCCTTCTCTCCCTCTCCCTCTCTTCTTCCCCCTCTCCCCAGCTAGGGCTTATGAAAGCATTCATATGAGAAGGCTTTGTGAATGTGCTGAAATTTCAATTCATCAAATGTTTGCTAACACTTAGTACAGAGCACTATGCTGGGATGTGGGGAGGAGCCTTCATGGAATTCCCAGTATATTGGGAATGATGTGGTCCATAACATGGGGGGGGGGGTTGGTATAGATCCCCTTTCCAGTTTTACATGCTCCTTGAAGGCACTCATTGTTCTTTCTCATCTGTCTGTGCTGAGCACCCAACACTGTGCCTTGCACACAATAAGTGTTTTAATGTTTGAACGCAAATTTTAAAGTGGCTGAAATGAAAAATACTGCTTCATAAAAATCATGTGAAGTAGGTAATGTGGGTAAGGTATTGTTGTCCCCATATTACAGATAAGAAAATTGAGGCACAGACAAGTACAGAGATTTATTTGCCCAGGAGTGGCAAATAAATTGATTTGATTGAGGATTGTCTTTTCCTCTGCCATATTTTTTCTCCTGGTATATGATGGGTGTATTAGAGCTAAGCAAGGTGCTGTGGGAAATCTGCCAGGGAGAAGGCCATTCTCAATCACGGAGGGCTTCTTAGAAGAGATGGCATTTGAGATAGACTTTAAAGGATGCTCAGGAATTGAATAGAAGGGAAGGGAAGGCATTCCAGGTGTGGGAAATAATGTGAGCAAAGATCTGGAGGCAGAAAGCAGAGAATGTCCTCAGAGAATGGTCTGGATGGACTCTGAGTACATGGCAGGGGTGGGGGGGAGGGTAGATCAGCTAAGGCCTGCTGGTGCCACATTGTGGAAGGCCTTGAATGCCAAGCTGACGGGTTTCATTGACAGGCGAGAACGCTTGGGTAGATGGAGGGACTGTGCTGTGTCCTTCCTTTCCCTAAGAAGAGGTTCAAGGTAGGAAAGCTAATTCTGGTTCGCTTAGCATTATCAAGTGCTGTGTGCAGTGGCATAGCAGGGGGAGAGATGTGAAGGCCAGTAAGATGGCATGCCATCCTTGCCCTCAGACCTTATAACAGAGTAGGAGCTGAGGAAGCAAATACCCAGATAAGTGCAATACAAATTAGGGTGAATAAGATGAGTATCAAGTACTATTTGATCACATTGGAGAGAGATCCCTTCTTGCTGGGGACTTCTTGGAGGAGGAGGAGGTAGTAACTTGAGCTGGGCCTTGGAGAATGGGTGGGCTGTGCAAAGGAACTGATGGCAAAGGGGAGCAAGGTATGAGCAAAGAGAGTGTGGAATGTGTGATGGAAATGGTCACCTGAAGAGGATGAGTCAATTCCTGACTCAAGAGGACAGACTGAAACACAGCTCTCAGAAGTAATGTACAAATAGAGGTCCACATACATGTGTAAAAGGCATTTGTTGTCAGACACGATTAGCCTTCCATTTGTTTGGCATTACTGTACTCTGTGACAAGAAATGGGGTAATTGAATGAAAGCAATGTTGAGGGAAAAGAAGAACCAATAAAAGTTATTTTTTTTTTCTCATTTTTAAGAGTGCAAGGCAGGACACTCCTGCCCACCCCCTTGCAGAAGTGGGAAGTGCTCAGGTGTTGAAAATTGCACATATTTTCAGACTTTTTTGATGTACTGATCAATTTTGCTGATTTTTTTTCTTTTTTTTTTGTCCTACGAGATGGCTCTCTGGGAGAGAGGAGGAGGGATAATGGCGGAAACTATGGTAATGTGAAAATAATAACAATAAAAACTAAAGAGCATGTGGCAGGTGGAAGGAGAGATAATATGTATGAGAGAAACAGTTGGTAAGTAAGGATGACTCCAAATCACAGAAAGTCTGAAAGGCCAGGATGAGGAGTGTGTGTGTTGTACACATCAATAAGGAGGAGGCATCTAGGTGGCGCTGTGGATGGAGCACTGGCCCTGGATTCAGGAGGAATCTGGCTTCAGACACATAACACTAGCTGTGAGACCCTGGGCAAGTCACTTAACCCCATTGCCTAACCAAAAAAACCACTAATAAGGAGATGGGGATTCTTTGCCACAGACTAGCATTTCAAGGAGCCACTTGGTAACTGTGCGCCTCTGGGGAAGTCATTTAACCTCTGTATCATAGTGTCCTCATCTGAAAAATGGGAATAAGGATGCACTACCTATTTCACAGGGTTGTAGTAAGCATCCAATAAAATCATTTAGGCAAAGTACTTTATAAATTGTAAAGCAATAGATCAGGGCAGCTAGGTGGTGCAGTGGATAGAGCAGAGGTAGGGAACTTGTGGCCTCAAGGCCACATGTGGCCCTTTAGGTCCTCAAGTTCAGCTCTCTGACTGAATCCAGACTTCACAGAACAAATCTTTCTGGATTCCTCACCCCTGGCACAGAGCATCAGGCTTGGAGTCAGGAAGACTCGGACACCAGTTATGTGACCCTGGGCAAGTCATTTGCCCCTGTTGGCCTCAGTTTCCTCATCTGTAAAATGAGCTGGAGAAGGAAATGGCAAATCACTCCAATATCTCTGCCAAGAAAACTTAAAATAGGGTCACGAAGAATTGGACACAACTGGGAGGGGGAAAAAAAAAGACTGACTAAAAACATTAGCTCATTGTCAGGTATTTTTTATTATTATTAACTGACCAAGACGAGGGAGGTTAGAGTATTCAGGTATGAATACAGGTGCTGGGCAGACTACAAGAGGAAGAAATGAAAAATCTGCCCCAGTCATCCTTTACTTGAGGTCCCACCCCAGAGCGGAAGGAGTAAAGGCAAGATCCCACTCTGAAAACATACCCCAGAGAGCCGAGCCATAGACCGCAGATGTCAGTAATGCGGACACAAACCCCAGCTGCTCCAGCAACGTTTTGTGCATCTGGATTGGAGGAGTTGGGGGGGGGCCTTTTGGAATCATCCATGGCTGCCTCCTAGCTGACTCACGTCGACTCTCTGGTTCTCGATGGCTGTCTAAGAGAACCAGTTCAGACGAGAAACTTGCATGCCACTAAACTGAACATCATCTCCAGATGATGGTTTAAACACACAAATATAAAGTGCTACTCTCTTTACCTTGTTTCAGCAGGACTTAATCTAGCCCTGAGCAAAGGAGACAGTCTTCCTAGGAACAATTTTCCCAATGCCATAGGGGTGACCATGACGTGACCGTGTTCACCTGGGCCTCATTTCCTCACACTGTAAAGTGGAGAGGTTGGGCCAGATAACACTGGAGGTCTGCCAGTTCTAGACCTGTGATCTCATGAATTTCTGGTGGTTCCCTATATCCTAGAGGAAAAAAACAAAAAACTCTTTTGCCTAGCATTCAAGGCCCTTAGGAGCCTGGAGCCTCCTGGTCTAGCTATCCACATTTGATATTTCTCCTTTTGGTACTCTGTGTGTGTGTATGTTTACACAGCTAGTAAGTGTTGTATGTCTGAGGCCGGATTTGAACTCAGGTCCTCCTGATTCCAGAGTTGGTGCTCTATCCACTGCAGCACCTAACTGCCCCCCCCCCCCCCCGTACCCTCTGTATACCAGCCAACCCTGGGACCCGGCCCTCTTCACTTCGTGTCCATTTATACTATTTTTATCTGTGAGAGGAATGGAAGTTTTTACAACTCACTCCAGAGTAACTGGAAAGAGCCAGTGAATCTGGGTGTGTGGAGCAGGTATTTCTGCTCACATACTTAAGTAACATTACTCCCTTAATGTATATAAACAAAGACTCTGGGCATTTGGACACTGAATATATCCAAGCTGAACTAAGTCTAGAAATAGACCTACTCTCCTTGGTAACATTTTTGATGCAAGTACCTATGATGCCCAAGTTTCAGTGATAGGTGCTCAAGTCTTCAAATGAATTTATACTTGAAAAAAGGAAGAAAATAATTTCTCAGGACTCTGGCTTTACTGAAATGTTTCTAGTTCTTCTGAACCTGGCAAAGCTGGCATTTTGATGGAATTTAGGTTGAAATACTCCCCCCCCCATTCTTTCATTTGGTCCTAGTGAACAAAGTAAGTACCCATGAGTGGGAGTTGAGTCATGTCTCATAGGACGTCTGTAATCCAATCCCTGACTGAAGAATTTCTGTGATGAGGAATACACTTATTTCTCCCAAGGCATTCCATTTCTCTTTTGGCAGAGTTAAGACGTTTTGTTACTTCTGACTAACTACTGCTAATACAGCACTACATGGCCTGTCGGACCCATGTCATATTCTGCATGGTGAATATTTACCATAATCTAATTCTTGCTGAAGTCAATAGGGTATTTATACAATTCTAGAGTATTAGAACTGAAACAGGAATCCTCTTTGGGACTCAGAATCACAACCTATTTGGGCTGGAAGGTGATCTCAGAATCATCTAGTCTAATGGAACCTGCGGTAGAATGAGTATTGGTTTTAGAATCAGCAGGAGCAGGTTTCAAATCACACGTCTGCTATTGATCATGTGACTGTGGGTAAGTCCCAAGGCCTCTGATTGCTCATTTATAAAATGAGGGTGACAGGAGGGAGAAGGCTTTCTTAGGTGTTTTAGAACTTTAAATCGTGTCCGACAAGGCTGAAAGCAGGCAGAGTGAGACTCAGTACAAGGTGAATTATTCCTAGAATTCGAGCTCTCCACTATAAATGGAAGGAGCTATTCACTAAGGTTCTCGAGTTCCTGTTCCTGGGAATCGTCAAGCAGAGATTGAAGACTGACTAGGAAATGTAGAATGGGGGAGGTCTGCTCAGAGAGGGATTAAACTCAATTAAGTGAGCATTAATTAAACACCCCCTATGCTGGACACTGAGGATACAAAGACAAAAACCAAACAGCTCCTGCCCTCAAAGGGCTCACATTCTATTTCAAGAAATAGACAAGGCAGTAAGCTTGTCCCAATCTGAAATGGAATTGCAGGCCAACTCTTAGAGATTTCCAGTCCTGGAAAGGGCTGAGATTTCTAAGTTTCAGGCAGAGCAGTCTCTTTCCTGGCCAGATTGCTACTATCATAGGTCAGAACCCAGGGAACATGTCTTTAAAATAAATAAAGTCTCTTTAAAACCTTGCTTAACTTCATGGAGTGTGGGCTTCTGGCATCAAGGGAAATACTTTTAATACCCTCTGTTCTTATCTCTGAGCTGAGCCAGTTAACTCATTGCAACCTATCTCTTAGGCCAATACAGAAACTATTAGCTTGCAAGTTCCATGAAGGCAGGGATTATGTCCAATTAAATCTTTGTGCTGCCCCTCCCTACCATTCGCCACAGAGCTGAACACAAATATTGCCTGGATATCAGAGAATATAAAGGACTGGAATGGAACTTAGAGATTGGCTTGTCCAACTAAGCCAAGGAAGTTTTATAGTTTACCCAAGGTCATGTAGATACCAAGAAACAGCTAGAATTTGAACCCAGGACCTCTGATTGTCTTTTCACTGTGCCCTACTGACTGGGGAACAGGAAGGGGATGGTATATGTTTGCTGGAAGTTCCAGGCAACCATGATGATTTATGTGGGAATGACATATCTTATTTTCTCTTCCTAATTCTTTCAGGGAAACTTCAGAAAACGAAGCAATCAAAACCCATCGTGAATGAGGGAAGAAGGCTTCGCAGGCCTGACTTTCCTGCTGCCTCTGCACCAGCAGCCTGTCTCTGTTGGATTCCTATCTGCTAAGGGTCCCACTGACGCTTAGCAGTTGGGGTTTGTTTCTGGGGAGATACCATTCAAGGGAATGGTGTGGGTTTGAGGAAAGCAGAGGAAACAATACTGGGGTCAAATCCCAGAAAGTCTCATCACTTCCTCCCCCAGTTTTCCTTTTCTAGAGGTGCTTTCCCCTACTGAGACCCGGCCCTAGTGGAAGCATGGCCTGCCTGACATCTCCTTGCTAGCCTTCTCTCCCTTGTGGCCACCAGCTGTGGTCCCTTGACAGCTGACACCTTGGGGCAACCCATGCCTGGAATGAATCCAGGAGGAGGTGGAAAGGAGGATCCTCAGCCTTGCTTTTCTCTTGCAGTTGAGTCCTTTTCAGTAAGGCTGAGACTCCCAGCCAGCAGTGTCACAGTGGGGTGCTAACAGTTATGAGGTAGCTTTGGATAAAAAACATTTCTGCTGTGCAGGCCTGTGGTGAGTTCTCTAGGAGATCTCATTCTTGAAGGGGAAAGAAAGTCCTGTGACTACCTAATTCCTCCCACCTTCCAGGAGGCCTTTGGGGAAGAGACCTGCCCAGGACAGGAGTAACTTCCAGTTCCAGTCTTGCTGAAACCCTGCTGGGGCCAGCCTGGGTCTGAGAAGTGAGACAGGACTGGAATGGACCAGTTTCACCGACTTAGATGGGCATGCTCCTGATCCACTTATACACATTGCATTATCTCCCACCTGGGGCTGTACTTACAGCTTCCCCACATAGGGGCAGTTGACTTCACAAATGCATCCAGGGTATGGGCCTAGAACTAGAGTAAGACTTCAGCTTTGATGGTTATATTCCTGATGCTTGACAACAGATCAGATCAGACTCTCAGGGTCAGCAAATGCAGAATGACTTTTTTTTTTTGGCGAGGCAATTGGGGTTAAGTGACTTGCCCAAGGTCACACAGCTAGTAAGTGTCAAGTGTCTGGTCTGAGATTTGAACGCAGGTCCTCCTGACTCCAGGGCCAGTGCTCTATCCACTGCGCCACCACCTAGCAGCCCCATGACTGTTTTTCTGATGGAATATTCTTCATTCCCTCCTGCTGTCCTAGTCTGGGAAAACTGAAAAAGACACAAAAGATGTGTAGGACCACAGCCAACCTGTGGCCTGGAAGTCGACCACTTCTTTAGCTGTTCTCAGCTCTTCCATGTACCCAAAGGGCCTTTGAAGGGAATAGGCTACAACACCCCATGCTCTTAAGTAGTGGTTTAATGCAGCCAAAGGATTTAGCAGCAAGAGGCCGGGCAGGGCCAGCAATAGCTTGCAGGAAGGATGTTTTTCTCCAGGGCCTCATTGCTCACTAGCTTCATGGCATGAAGCTTTCAGCAATAAGTGTTCTTACTGTAAGTTGCGTGTTTTGGAGCCTCATCCTGGGGGAGGGAGGGGGATATGAGAAAAGGCCCACTGAAACACGATTACTCATTTGTTATCAAAACTTGACAGGCTAGCCGTTGGCTACCTCATTTCTCCCCTGCTATGGCTTCTACATCTTTGCCTTTTTCCCTTTTCCACTGAATCAGTGGTACAAACTAATAAAAGCTTATGTTGTGACACTTCTTTTTCTAAATGGTCTCTGCTAATCCATCTTTAAAGTGTGTTGGGAGAAGACTGTATTTGACCAATCCACGTCTCTTCTAGATTACCTTTCGACTATTACTGCATCTGTCTGCCTACCTTTAATCTTGCCGCTTGACATTTAAGCACAAGAAAACAATACTTGTGGGTCTTAACGTGAAGTTGTGTTCATCATATCACATCATTCAGAATAGGAAAATGTTTCTTCCAAATGCTGTAAGTGAAAACAATTTTCAGGGATATGTCAGTGGCCTGAAAGACCAGCTGTACCTGCTTAAACTCAGCTGACACCCCACTAGGATGTGGGCACAGTTTGGAACAGAGAAACCTGATGCATCCATAACATAGAGGTCCTTCTGGGGATGACTTTACCTGCTACTAGTAAGCTACCGTTAATACAACTGGCAGAATAGCTACTTTGGGTTACCTTGGGGAAAGAGAATCGTGAGTTGCACCTTGGGTACGGGTGCAGTTATTCCAGGGACAAACTGTGACCTCCAAGTCACTTCCCTCTTTCTTGCTGGGCCTCTTATTCCAGTAAAATGCAAGGAGTGAACTGGATGGTCCAACAAGCTTTCCATTTCACAGCTAGAATCATTCTACAATTCCTGCCTCCTACCTTGCTGGCTATTTAGAATATCTTGCAGACTTTTGGTCTGAACATAAGTGGATTAAGACTCACCTGGGAGTGCACAGACCCTGACTTGGAAAGTGGATACAGGACTGACAAACTCTAATGGGCATGTCCCCTGCTACCACCCCCACCTTGTGTTCACTTCAGGTAATACAGCCTCAGAGGTAAGAAGACCTATTTGTGGTTCATCGAACTTAGCTGACGATTTTACAGGACTGTTAAGTTGTTAAGTGTTATCGTCCTCATTTTCACAGAGGGAAACTGGCCCAAAGAGAATGACCTTTCTGTAAGTGTGGGAGTCAAGATGGGTCATATCTTGTGGCAAAACCACAGGTTATCAATGACTCATGCAAAAGACCTCCCCAAATCTCAAATAGCTAGCAATAGCATAGCACTTTACAGGTTTGCAAAATGATTTCCATGGGATCTCTACAACAATTCTGTGAGGCAAGGGCAATCAACTTCCCTATTTTACAGAGGAAGAAAGTCAGGCTGAGTGAGAAGTCACTTGTCCAGGGTCACCCAACCAGTCAGTGTGTGAGGCAACATGTGACCTTGGCTCTTCCACAATCCCCAGTCCACCACCTAAATGCCTACCTCTTCTAGTTACAACCTGAAAGAGCCAGCTAGTGCAACTCTGGGACTTTCTAAAGGGAGCCTATTCAGGATTGGTTCCAAAAACAGGAGCTCCTCATCAAATCAAGCTGTCACTTTTCCTGTTTCCAGCTGGCTCAAATTCATACAGGGAAGGAGTGTGGAACCACCCCTAGTTCTAGTGGTGTCCACCTGAAGAAAGCACGAACCAAAGACTCGGACATGAAATAAACAGACTAATAACTTGGAAATCATCAGTAGGGTTTCTTTATCCAAGGAAATGATAAGGCAACAACAGGAAATGGTCAAGCCCTGTCCGGTACAGAAAGTGATCAGAGGGAACAGGACTGGCCCTTGGAATGTCCCAGCATTTAGAATAGACCTTTCTCCAACCCTCCCTGACCGAGGGAGCAAGGATACATTTGTGAAGTAGTCCCATATTTATTTAAAGGATGGCTGCCATGGCATTGGAACCTTCCAGACAACCTGTAAACTGAGAAGGGGAGGGCCCCTTCCTAAGTCATTTATAGTGTAATCACATATTTAGCTAAATTCACACAAGAGTGTCAGCTCATCAGCTCAGGTGCAGATTTTTCATGCTACAGCATCATCTGTGGCAAACACCAGACACCCAGCCTTCCCTCCCTGCCTAACATACTTTGAGACTGCCTCTGGCAGATGTTCTGGGGAAAATGCATGTACCTTTCTAGGAATCTTACACCATTGGATCCAGAGCACAGCAGTCTCTATTCACAGTACAGGCTTCATAAATGTTGGTTGAAGGAATGAATAAATGATGAATAAATGAGTTATATGTATACCCACAGAAGGCAAACTATTAGTTGTATAACATATAACTAGGAAGGTAAACTGAGAAGAGAAGGAAAATCACAGGACAGAAGAATTAATCTCTGTCCCTCAGTTTCTTCATCATGAAATTAATCAGTTGGATTAGCTAGTCTCTATAAAGTCTATTCAGCAAATATTAAGTATATTATGCTCAAGGCACTAAACCCTGTGATTCTAGAATTAGACTTGTTCATCTTGGCCACAGAGGGCAGAATTAAGATGGGGTGAGGGGGAAGTTGTAGACGCAGATTTTGACTTAACATAAGGAAAAAATTCTCAACACAGAAGGCTGTCCAAAAGTGAATGGGGCTACCACTCCGCAAGCACAGGCCTAGGGTTTGGTAATGTTAGAGATGTGATGCAAACTTCAGGTACCATTTTGGGTTAGATTCTCTCTGAGATTCTGCAGTTTGCCTTATCTAAAAGTTTTGAACATCCTCTAGCCCAGAAAATTGAGTTGAGTGTTCAGAAAACATGGGAGATGGCAGCTGGCATTTGGCTAAATCCCCTCAGCACTCACAGAGCAAGAGTCCTTGTGGAAAGGAGGGTGGTGCCCTATGCCATCTGGCCACCTCTAGGATACCCTAAGGTGGCTTCCCCAACCTTGGATGTTCAGTCTTTCAGTCCATAACTAACAGAGTGCCTTTATCATAACCACAGCTCCCATTTCTGCATCTAAGATTCACAAAGCACTTTTCCTCCCAATAGGTACATGAGGTAGGTGACACCAGGACAATTATCCCTCATTTGACAATGGAGGAAACTGGCTCAAAGAAGTGACTTGCCCAAGGTCATATCAAGAATAACTAGCAGTGGGGCAGCTAGGTGGTGCAGTGAATAGAGCACCGGCCTTGAAGTTGGGAGGACCTGGGTTCAAATCCTACCTCAGACCAAACACTTGACACTTACTAGTTGTGTGACCTTGGGCAAGTCACTTAACCCCAATTGCCTTAAAAAAAAAATAACTAGCAGAGCCAGAATTCAAACCTAGGTCCTCCAACTCCAAACACTGTTCCCTCGACATTGTGCTGCCTCAAATTATTTTCTTCCCGGTCCCCAGCCCCTGACTTCTATAAACATCTTTCTCTAGAAGGCCCTGGAAGAGCTGCTCACCTATCCCCTTAATAGTTAGGATTTCCTCCATCTCCCAGACAATATCAACTAACCATAGTGAGGACTGTGCTGTGTGTCTCATTCAACTGTAAAGGAAGGCAGGAAGATGACCTCAAAGGGTCAGGTCACTTCAAGGTATAGTAGCGGGTGGGCACAAAAGGCATCTTGCTAACCACTGCCTCCTGCTGCTTCTTCCGTACTTCCACCAATAGCTGGGTCCCAATTTTACTGTGTTTTCCATCCACATAACCCATGGCCACATTCTTCTTCAGGCACGGAGAGGGGCAGCCACTGGTGATCTCCCCTGGGAAGGGCATAGGAAACAAGACATGGAATCAGACAGCAGAGGGCACGCCTGTGCCCACACAGGAGACAAAGCAGATAATGTCTGTCACACATACTAGTGTAGTGGGAAGGCTGGCTTAGTTCAAGCACCACCTTCTACAAGAATCCTTTCCTGATTGGCTCCCCAGCTGTTATGTGCTTTCCAACCAAAAACATACTACTTATCTTGTGTGTTTTTATATGATATGTATACAGGGTGCCTCTTCTGATGGAATGTAAGCTCCCAGGTGCCAGGGGCTACTTCATGTTTGTGGTTTTTATCCTCAGTGTCTAACACAGCACCTACCACACCTGCGCATCACAGCTGATGACCTGTAGTGCACCTGCCCAACACCCGCATCACATTTTGAGTATTTGTAGGTTGAAGTGATATCTTCTTGGGTACCTCATCTGCTGATGCAGACTGGGCACTGCAGCAGCTAGGACCCTTGCCTACCAGTTTTGGCCTAGAGACCACACAGCAACCAGAAACATTCCTTTCTTCTCACCTGAGGGGAACCTAGGGTCCTCAGCAGCATGGACCAGTCCCACCCACCTTCTGATAGGGACAAAGGGACTCTGCAGTAAGCAACCTAAATATAAACTGGATACGGGACTTTACCCACCCACTTCCTGCAGCCATCTAAAATGCTTCCCTCCCACTGCTTTGGATCCTTATGTACCCCAGGATTGCTCTACAGCTACTTGAGGCCCACATTAGGCAAGCCACCCTTAACTCCCTTTCTCTGAAGCTTGGACCCCAGGATCCCTTCATAGCTCTCAGCCCCTACCATCACAGATCTACCCCCACCACCTAAAGTGACTCCTGGATATCTTTTGTCCTCAGAGACTCAAGGTCATGCCCAATGGATGACATGAGCCCAAAGACTGAGTAGTAACCTCCTGCAGTATCCCTGAACATGCAGCCACCTGGAGGACTCCACCTGAGACCCTTTGGATCTCTTACCCAAAGACTACTCCACTCAGCAGCCACAGGTATCACCTCATACTTACCAAACAGTTGTTGACTAATTAGGAAAAATTAAAAAAAACCCCCACTATATGTGGAGTCAGAGGACTCAAAAAAAAAACCCCTTGGTTGAAACCCCAGCTCTGTTACTTCTGTGATTCTCTGCACAAGTCCCATCCTTTCCCTGTAAAATGATGGGTCTGGCCTAGGTGATTTCTAGGCTCTCTTTTAGTTCCAAATCCTATTCCTTTCCCGCTTCTCAGTCTTTCCCTTGGGGGCAGGGTCCAGATGTAGGTGTCCTCCCCTCACAAAACCACCCCAACCCCAAAAGGTGAAGAACAAACCCGCTAACAGCTTCTGCCTACACAGTTCAAAATAATTAGCGTTTGGATGGAGCTTTAAGGTTTGCAGAGCACTTTACAAAGATTATCTCATCATTATCCTTACAATAACCCTGTGAGGTAGGTGCTCTTATTATCCCCATCTTAGAGGTGAGGAATCTTGAGTTAGAAAGAGGTTAAGTGACTTGCCCAGGATCACATAGCTAGTAAGCATCTGAGGCCATATTTGAACTCATGAAGATGAGTCCTCCTGATTCCATGCTCAGCTGATAACTCATGATTACAGTTCAAAGCCAAGCCCAGCCTTTGGGGAAGGGATATCTAGGATCATGGGGCAGCTAGGTGGCACAGTGAATAGAGTACTGGGCTTGGAATCAGGAAGACTCATCTTCCTGAGTTCAAATCCAGCCTCAGACACTTGTGAGTGACCCTGGATAAGTCACTTAACCCTTTTTGCTTCAGTTCTTCATCTGTAAAATGAGGTGAAGCAGGAAATGGCAAACCATTCCAGTGTCTTTGCCAAGAAAACCCCAAATGGAGACACAAAGAATCAGACAGGGCTGAATGATAAACAACAGAGGATCACAGGATTCTGAGCTAGAAGGGACCTCACAGATTGCCTGGTCCGAAGGAGGAAATTAAGGCTGAGAGATGAAGGCCCTTGCCCAAGGTCATCCAGACAGTAAGGAGCAGGGCAGGGATTTGAACTTGGGTCTTCTGATTACAAACCTTGTGTTCTTTCCATCACAACCCTCTCCTCTCTTAGGAGCATATTGGAGAGGGTAGCATTTATGTCTGCCTTGCCCCCAGCTTTCCCCTAATTCAACCTACCAATGACAGCTCCCTCTGTGTTCATGATGAGGCTGTGCTGGCGAACAGGCGCTCCTGTAGACGTCAGCCCCACACGCTTACGGGCCAGTTTCCCTTTTATCTGGGGGATCACGATGGCAGCACCAGGGAAGTCCATGGCAGCCTTGCGTCGTTTTCCTGTAAACAACCCCCGCCAGACAGGGATGTTTAGCATTCTCCTGGGGAAATTCATCACTCTCTCCTTTACCTCCAGGCTTTAGCCCACTGCCACAGTCAGTACTTAATGAATATTTACTGAATAAGTGATTTAGAGTCATGAATGAATTAAAGTCTTCCTATATAAATCCTACCCATGTACCTTCACAGGTACCCTCTTGAAAACTTTTTTCGAATTCTGCCCCAACCAGTAATGGCTTTCCCCATTAAGAATTACAGACTGTTAGAACTTAAAAAACAAGAGCTCTCCTTTCTGCAATGCTTTAGGGTTTACAAAACACCATCACCTTCATCTTTACAAAACACCTCCCACACAAGAACTCTGTGAGGTAGATAGTACAAGTGTTATTCTCATTTATAGAGTATGTCTCGACTCCCCATTCACATCCATCCTCCATCAGCTGCCAAAGGATCTTCCTAAAATGCAACTCTGACCATGTTACTGTCCCTATTTCAAAACTCTACCAAACAAAAAAGATCTAGAAAACACAACAGATTTAATCTTGGTCATGAAAGTCAAGAAAAAAAAATCATAGTCATTTTTCCAGCCCTAGTTAGCATAAGGAGACAGAGAGGTTTGTGGACACTGGAGACAGGGTCTGGCCAAGATCATATTACGGGGAGCATTCCAGTTCAAAGAGAGGGCATGAACTAGTGTAAGAAAAGGTCTCATATCCAGCACGAAGGGGCCTAAACTTGTGTAGGTGCCAGTTGGCAGTTTTGTCACTCATTATCCAGTTCTAGATTGTAGATCCAAGGTGGATTGGGGAGGGGATCTGTGCCTAGGAGTGGTGTTCCAAGCAAAGAGGTGGTTAGGGGCCCTAGGTTGTATACTAGTAAGAAGTAAATTCAGAAGGAGGCAGAAAATGTGAGGCTGAGACCCCAGGAGCAGATTGGGGTCTCAGTTCCAGGTTCTATCCTAGTCTGAAGCCTGCAAAAAAAAATAATAATAACCAGGGCAGGAATCCCAGAACAAAAGGAAAACTATAATTCCATCATTCAGAACCAGCAGAGCCTTCTAACTAGCTAATAGTGGCTGAGTCCAACAGTGGTCTGGCGAAACTCCAAAAAGGACCCCCCTCTAGGTCTCTATTGCTCAGACCCAAAGCTGGGTCAGGAGTCTGCAGAGGTCAAATCAGAGGAGGCATTATCTGATCATTATCAGATTTTGCCTGGGATCAGATCACTTTGGGAGCACTGAAAGCTTGCAGGTCTCCAGCCTGAGCTGTCCCTAGGAGCCTGAAATAACACAGTACTCCATTCCCCAAGAAAGCATCAGTAGGATCAGCCCAGATATTCCCTCCAAGGGTACACACAGCATGGCCCTAATAAAGTCCAAACTCAGGAAGTAAGCTGGAAGAATGAACAAATGGAAAAAAATCCCACCATAAAAACCTGTTATGGTTACAGTGACACTCAATTTACAAACCCAGAAGAAAAGAATAACCTCAAAACATCTACAAGTAAAACCCACAGTCTGAGCACAAATTCAATTAAAAATTCCTGGAAAAGATGAAACGAGTTAAAAAAAAGAGCAAAAATGTTATTATAAAAGAAATGAGCTCACTAGAGGAAAAAAATTGGAAAAGAAATAAGAGCTATGGAAAAAGAAATTAGAAAAGTAATTAACAGTGTGGCACAGGAGGTACAAAACTTGGCCCAAGCAACAAAATCCCTGAAAATTACAATAGACCAAATAGAAGTTAATGACTACATAAGACAACAAGAAATATTAAAACAAAGTCAAAAGACTAAAAAGATAGAAGAAAATGTAAGGTACCTCATAACAAAAAACAAGTGACCTGGAAAACAGATTGAGGAAAGAAAATTTAAGAATCATTATACTACCTAAAAGCCATGATCAAAAAAAAAAAAAAGGGCTAGACATCATATTTCAAGAGGGCATAAAAGAAAACTGCGTTGATCTATTAGACATGGAAATAGTAAAAAATAGAAAGAATCTATTGGTTACCTCCTGAAAGAAACTCCAAAATGAAAACTCTCAGGAACACTGAAGACAAAATCCAGAGTTTCCAGATCAAAGAAAAAAAATTACTGAAAATAGCCAGAAAGAAAGAATTCAAGTACTGAGAGCTACAGTCAGGATTATACATGATTTAGCAGCCACCACTCTAAAGAAGCAGAGAGCTTGGAATATATTATTGCAGGCAAAGGATATAGCTGTCAACCAAGAATGACATACCCAGCAAAACTGAGTTTAATCTTACACGGAAAAAAAAACAAGCGGATCTTTAATGAAATAGAGGACTTCCAAATAGTCCTGATGAAAAGTCCAGAGCTGTACAGAAACTTTGAAGTAGAAACATAGAACTTTAGAGAAACAAAAAGGGAAACATGAACAAATAATGATAAAGTAACTACATAAGGATAAACTTCTTACATTCTAATGTGGGGAGATGATACATATGTCCTCTCTGAACCCTATCATCACCAGGGTTCATAGAGGGAGTCAATTAGATAGAAGACCTGGAAGAGTGAGTATGTGTGAGTATGTGAGAGAGACAGAGAGAGAGAGAGAGAGAGAGAGAGAGAGAGAGAGAGTGTGTGTGTGTGTGTGTGTGTGTGTGTGTGTGTGTGTGTGTGTGTG